TAAGCATTAGGATGGGAGTAAGTTTCTTTGCTCTTTTTCAAGACAGAACAACTTTTGTTCTCACTTCTCTTCCCTTTTTTGTTTCCTTAAGAAGTTCCCTTCCCACTTTCACTTTATCCATTTGTTTTTCCTCCCTCCTGTTTTTTTAACTTTTATACTTTCTCATCATCTTAACACTCTTAAAAATTCTTTTCTGGTTTGCTTAGATATGCAGTGGCCTTCTGCACCTCTCTGCAGCCATCAACTGCAGGAGGTGTCTGACTTGGTGATGAGCAAGAGAATGAACAAACAGTTAAGTAAATTAGCTGTTCATCATTCAGAAGCCACAGAAAAGTGGCCCTTCCAGCATACCATCCATACCCTGGACCGAAGAGAAGTACTCACAGCATTGAAGGCAACTTCCCAATGAATAGGAAGTTGGGCAAAAATGCCAGGAGGAATGTGGGAGGAATACAGAAACACTGTCCAAGCATCCAGGGATGAATTTAGGAAAGCTAAAGCCCAAGTACTGAATCTGGCCAGGGATGTCAAAGACAACCAGAAGGGCTTCTTTAAGTATATAGATGATGAAGGGTAGGCTACGGAAAATGTGGGCCTGCTGCTGAATGAGGGAGGGCATCTGGAGACACAGGACATGAAAAAGGCTGAGGTACTGAACGCCCTCATTGTCTCAGTCTTAACTAGCAAAACTGACCTTCATGAATCCCAAGCCCCAGAGACTGGGAGAAAGGCTGGAGCAAGGAAGATGTATGCTTAGTGGAAGAGGATCTGGTGAAGCAAAATGGACACACATACATCCATGGGACTTGAGGAGGTGCACCCATGAGTGCTGAGAGAGCTGGCTGATGTCACTGCAAGGCCACTCTCAATAATCTTTAATCCACCATGGTGACTGGGAGAACTGCCTGAAGACTGGGTTAAAGCAAATGTCACTCCTATTTTCAAGGAGGACACAGGCAACTGCAGGCTGGTCAGCCTCACCTTGATCCCTGACAAGGTGATGAAGCAGCTAATCCTAGAAATGATCTCCAGGCACATGAAGGACAAGAAAATAATCAGGATTAGTCAGCATGGATTCACTAAGGGCAAGTCATTCTTGACTAACCTGATCACTGTCTATGATGAAATGATTGGCTTGGTAGATGAGGGGACTTCAATAAGGCTTTCAACACTGTCTCCCACAAGATCCTCATGAAGACACTGTAGAACTATGGGCTGGATAAGCATATTGAAACCTGGTTGAACAGTGAGTCCCAGAGGGAGTTGATCAGTGGCACAAAGTCTAGTTGGAGGCAAGTAACTACCAGTGTACCCCAAGAGTCAATACTGGGTTCAGTCCTGTTGATCATCCCCATTAATGATCTGGATAATGGGGCAGAGTGCACCCTCAGCAAGTTTGCAGATGACACCAAACTGGGAAAAGGGTCTGATATGTTAGAGGGTAATGCTGCCATTCAGAGGGACCTGGACAGGCTGGAGACATGGGCTGACAGGAACCTCATGCAGTTTAACAAGGGGAAGTGCAAAGTCCTGCACCCGGGAAGAAACAACCCCAGGCACCAGTACATGTTGAGGGCTGCCCAGGTGGAAAGCAGGTTGGCAGAAAGAGACCTGGGATTCTGGTAGACACTAAGGGTTGAAGACACACAAGAAATATGGCCTTGTGGCAAAGAACACCAATGGAATCCTGGGTTACATTAAAAGAAGTGTTACTAGCAGGTCCCAGGGAGATGATTTGTCCCCTCTGTTCAGTACTGATGAGGCCAAACCTGGAGTACTGTGTCCAGTGCTGGGGTCCCCAGCACAAAAGGGACCTAGACTCACTGGAGAGAATCCCATGAAGGGCCACCAAGATGAGGAAGAGACTGGAGCAGCTCTTACATGAGAAAAGGCTGAGAGAGTTGGGACTGTTCAGCTTGGAGAAATCTCAGGGGATCTCATCAATGTATATAAATACCTGCAGGGAGAGTGTAAAGAAGAGGGAACCAGGCTCTTTTCAGTGGTGCTCAGTGACAGGACCAGAGGCAATGGGCACAGACTGAAGCACAGGAGGTTCTCTCTGAACATCAGGAAACACTTTTTCACTGTGATGATGACCAAGCACTGGCACAGGTTGCCCAGAGAGGCTGTGGAGTATCCATCTTTGGAGATATGCAAAAGTCATCTGGACATGGTCCTGGGTACCCAGTTCTGGGTGGCCCTGCTTGAGCAGCAGGGTTGGACCAGATGATATCCAGAGGTCCCTGCAGACCTCAGCCGTTCTGTGACTCTGTGATTCTATGAAATGTTTACCACATGTAGCTCTCTGAGCAAATGACAGCAAAGTGAGTTGGCACATAGGATCCAACAGCTAAATGCAGCTCTTGTTGCACAGGTCTCTTTATCTCTCTTTCTAAAGCAGAGTATAAATGATGCTGGCCTCATACAACAAATAAATCTGAGAAATATTTTTCCTTCTTTACTTCGCATGCATCCGCTCTCATTGCTGGATTAATGCATGTGACTTCAAAGGAGAATGGCTGGGCTCTAGGACACTTACAGACAAGATAATAAGAAATTATCTAAAAATGCTTTCCTTCACGAAGTTACCCCTAGAAATTAGTTCTTTAAAACCGTGACAGCAGCAACTACTTTTTGTCCTTAAAGTGAAGTGATTCTATATAGTTATTTAGAACTGAAATTATCCTGATTTAAAGCAAGCATTCGAGTAACGAAATTCACTGAAGGCTCTTGCTGATTGACTAGTTGAGATAGACAAGATCAGAGAATCTGGAGCATTTTAACTGAGTGTCTGAACAGAAGAGCTATTATATGCTGAAAACCAAGAACTGATCAAAGACAAAAGATGATAAAATATTTCAATTCTGTTTAAAAAAATATATAAAAGAATTAATGATGGGCCAACAGTACTGTTTTGCCCACAGTATAAATAGCTGAAAAAGCATTAACATATTTCTAAATCTTTGAATTTTAACAGTTTCAAGAGATTATTATTCTCAGTGGATTAAAACAAATCTCAGTACTTAGGTAGTAAATTTCTACAAACACTGCTCCGGAAAACACTATTTTTGACTCAGCTTTTTAAGGAGAGAGTTTGATGGTCATCTACAGTGCTTATAGCAAACATTGGCAATCTGTATAAGTCAGAAAACTAGGGTTTGTTTGCTTGTTTGTTTTTTAAATAATTTAGCAGTTTACTTTCTTAGAACCTGTTTATGAATTACACAGTAGTATTATGTAGAGGAGGAATATTTCTGAAATGCCACTAAAGGTGATGAAAATAAATCAAAGTCCTGAAATCCTGCTCAAAGTTATCTGATAGTTTAAATAAAGGCCTTTTGCTTATTTTGTAAAAGAGAAATGTGGTTTTTAATGCTCAACTAGCTTACCATTCTCGACCATAATTGTTAAATTTTTGTCTGAAATCTTGAATAGAGAAGATGGAATGATATATAGATTTTTTCTTCTGGCAGTTTAGAATATTTATACTTGTATAAGTATAATCTTAAATAATTCATTCTGGTCAGTATATTGCTTTGCACAGCAGTAAATCCGTCCTCTCCATCTCACCTTTTAGTCCTGCAAGAATGAAAGTCAGCATGCTATAAGTTTTCCATCCTTTAAGTCACTGGTCAGTATATTGCTTTTTTCAAAAAGCCTATATATCACACTACTCCTCCCAGAAAGCTAGATTCAGCAATTAAAAAATCTCATAATATTTTGCTAAAGCTGCTGGATAAGCTATATGTTATTTCTTTGCTATTTTATACTGTACGTAGTACATCCTTATGCATTTCTTTCACTCCCTATGAATAACTACCTTTTTCGACTTGTTCTCGTGCTTGTTGGTTGGTCATTCCAGGGTATGGACATACTCCTAAACTGAAAGTCTCCCACAAAAGGATTCCAAAGCTCCATACATCACTCTCTGATGTGTATCTCCCTAAAAAAATGAGAGAAAACTCACAGATTAATGTACAGAGAAATTAATGTTTCAGATAATTATGAACCAAATTTTTCTGTAAAGTGTTACATCCGTAAGCTTTAAGCAGAACAAAGCTGTAGCTACTAATAACACACATTCTGCAGATATCATAGTCTCCTGTACTTCAGATGACAAATTATCTTAAGGTCAACATCTAGAAATAATACAAGCTAACTTAAAGTTCTACAATATGAGAGACCTTACCATATCAGTTATTTTTCATGCAAGTTAAGAATTTCTTCGCTTATTTTTTTTTCTTTTAATATAAAAGGACATAAAAATGTCAGGGTTTTTTCCCCTCTTGTTTAGAATAACTTTCAATTAAAAAGATACTTTAAAAAAAATTACCTTTCCCAGTTCCCTAATAAAGCATGGCAATGAGTATTCTTAGAGCAGCTACCATCAGCATAGTTTCTAACTGTTAAGAAGGCCTGGTTTTCATGCTTTGAGAAACTGTTCTCTAAAAATGAAAGTATAGTTGCTTCAACTTGTTTAACTGGACTGCATTTGGCTATGAAGGATAGGTTTCCATTAGATATCAAATAAACTGTACACATTTCTGAAATAACAAAAATTAAAAATTCAAAACACCTTTTACATTGGAACAAACACCCAAAATAGAAAAAGTGTGTTCCCCAGTGAATGCTAGCAATACTAAGACTTCTTAGAATAATTGATCATACAGGATTAATTATTGTAACTAATTTTATTATCAGCCTTCCAAAGGGAAGATCTGCTTTATTGTGTTATGGAATTAACTCCTGCAAAAGCGCTAATGAGAGGAAGCATTTTGCTATCAGTCATAAGTCACAAACTTATGATTTTCAATGCATGATTTAAAAAAAAAAAAGTTTTAAGAGATGGGAGAAATATTTATAGACACTTCAAACTTTTTTCTAAGTACTCAACTAAAGAAATGGTTGAGAGAACTACATCCAAAGCATGGCATCCTTCATTTAACATGCTGCTTCTTCATAGACCACTTAGCAGAACTTATTTTTCTAGTTTCATGTAAGCTAAATACAGCAGCTTCTGTTTCAGTTCTGGAACTATTACACACATAGTATAGACCACTTCCCTCAATCAGAAATCAAGGAATTTTTTTTTCCTCAAGACAATGGCCTATTAATATATAAAAATGCAGGCAAAGAAAAGCTGTTGTTAAAAATAAATTAAATAAGTCACTCTATTTTCCTCTCATGAGATAATTTATTTAACAGGGTGTTCTAATATGTTAACACTTTCTACCGTTTTCAAAGAACTGCTAGAAAAACCATTGCCATAAATATGCAGAACTTGCCATTAATTTTGCTATTACAATTTAGATGACTGACTAGGTCATATTTTATTGCTGCATAACAGCAATTTTGATGTTGCTGCCTTATCCTTTTTGAAGACAAAAGAGTATTTTATACATAAGTTAAATAAGACTGAAGTTACTGAAATATGAAAGTTATTTTAAATATTATTGATTTGAACTGGGCATTAGGAGTACTGATGATATATAGTATAGTATATATAGATAGTATATATACTAACTGAGCATTAGTATGTATAAACAATTATTGCCCATGGTATAGTCCTGGTGCTCCCCATGCTACTTTTGATATTTTTTTTTTTCTTTTTTTCTTCCAATAATATACAGGTATGTCCTTACCATAGTTGAGAGCTTCTGGAGCAGTCCACTTGATAGGAATCTGCTTTAGGCCTGACGATGAGTATACACCATCATCCTCTTGCCGGGACATTCCAAAATCGCTTATTTTCAAAATGTTGCTTTCACCTACCAAGCAGTTCCTTGCAGCCAGGTCTCTAAGTTAGAACAAGAAATAAACCCTCATATGTTTACACATTTGAAAGTACTTGAAGCCATTTAAAACGGCTGAGCCCCTCAGCCAAGATGGTGTCATCTCTCGTAAAACATATGTGGTGGGATAACCTTGGCTGGACATTAGGTGCCCACCAAGCTGCAATATCACTCTCCTCCTCATAGGACGGGGAGGGGAGAAAATAAGATGAAAAAAAAAAAATAAAAATGGGTCAAGATAAAGGCAGTTTAATAGAAGTACAAAGTAAGGGCCGTGAGTGGAAGCAAAGGAAGAACAAAATATTTATTCTCTACTTCCTATCAGCAAGTGATATCTGGCCACTTTCTGGGAAGCAGGCCTTCAGTATGTGTAGTGGTTACTCCAGAGGACAAATGCCATAAATAATGCCTCCCCTTCCCTCTACGTTCCCCTTGCTTTTATTTCTGAGCAGAAGTCATATGGTGTGGAATATCCCTTCGGCCTGTTTGGGTCAGCTGTCCTGGCTGTGTCCCCTCCCAAGACCTTTCCTACCCCCAGCCAGCTGGGTGAGGGAAGCAGAGGGGAATGTTGGAGAGACAGCCTTGGTGCTGTGCTAGCACTGCTCAGCAGTAACCAAAACACTGGGGTGTTATCAACACCTTTCTAGCTACTAACACAAAACACAGCACTCCGAGGGCTGCTATGGGGAAAACTAACTCCGTATCAGCCAGACCAAATGCAACATATTTAAGAAAGGGTATGTGAAACAATCCTGTTAACACCAGGGTCGGTGAAGAAGTAGGGGAAGGAGGTGCTGGAGATGCTAGAGGTGCTCCAGGTGCCAAAGCAGAGACTCCTCTGCAGCCCTCGGAAGGACCCACATGGAAAAGGAGAACAGTGTGAGGAAGAAGAAGCAGCAGAAAGCTTTTATGGACTGATCTCAACCCCCCCTCCCCATCTCCCTGCGTCCCTCAGAGGGGAGGAGGTGGAGGAGTTGGGAATGAAGAAGTGAAAGTGAGTCTTGGAAGATGGGAGGGGTGGAGGAAAGGTGTTTCAGTTTTCATATTTATTTCTCACCATACAACTCTATTTTCATTTGCAATAAATTAAATTAATGTTCCCCAAGTCAAGTGTGTGTTACTGTGACAGTAACTGGTGAGTGATCTCACTATCTTTATGTTGACCCACAAGCTTTTCCATCTTATTTTCTCCCCTGTCTTGTTGAGGATGGGGAGTGAGAGAGCATCTGGGTGGGCATTTGTCAATCAGCCAGAGTCAACCCACCACAACTGCCCTCTGAGATCACAAGAGTCAACCCACAGATTAACAAATCAGACTTTATGCCAAATGAAACAGAATTTGAAGAAGCACCCTGAAACTTGTTCCCATCATGATCAAAGACCATGAAAATCCCGAGAACTGGCTCCATCTTCTCTCCGCCCATCTTATCTTAGCATTAGAGTTTTCTGAAAAAGTAAAAAGCTAATCAGTATCACAGGAAAAGGAATTTTGCCTCAGTGATGGATGACAAGCTCAGAAAATCAACAGCCTTCCTTTCACTCCCTCCATCTCAAATATGTTTTTTGAGATTAGGAGACAGCCTATAGTAAAACCTGATAAAAGACTTACTGTGGCTTTTCTACAGCATACATTTAGAATAATAATAAATGACAATAATATATTATTAACATACTATATGTATATCACATTGTTTAACAATATATGTAATATACATATAACAATTTCATTGTTTAACAATGTATTAAAATACTACATAATAAAATAAATACTGTTATTCCCATCCTAATGTAATAAAATACATGAAATTTTTGAAGGAAAAAAAATGTTAAGCAAGATAATTAAATGTATAACATTAGGAACATCAAGGGCAAAGTATTTTTAAACTAAATTTACAATGTCTGTTTTCAGCTTAAATACACAAAGATTACACTCAGTTCACATAATTTTTGTCTGGTTTGTATGTGACAGTTTCTTTTTATTTCACAGTCATCTAGAGGAAGTGTTTTTCAACATTACTGAAAATTTACAAAAACACGTCCATGAAAATCAAACTGGTACTTGAGAAAGTTGGTAAAGATTGAAATAATACATTCAGGATATATGTAAATTAACACTGGATCTTCTGAAAGACCACAGAAACACAAAGTCTTCGCTTCATGCTAAAAAAACAGTTTTCAAGATATTAGCTGGCAGTGGGTTACAGAATGATTCTACTAAAGCTGCCATGCTGCACTCAGGTGCCAAGGGAGGAATCATGGGTCAGTGGTTTGCTAATGGCCCATAAGTTGTACATGTGGACACAACTGTCACATCCGCCATCAATCTTTCAAGGCAAATTGCTTCTTTCTTTTTGTCTTAGTTTGTATAGAGAAGCATTTTCATTGCCATCTTCCACAGAACATCAATAAAATTTTATGAAATAGTGAGTGCCGAGCTATTAACAATAAGACAGAAAAGGATACATTATGATAAAACCTAACTTACTAATAAAGCTACAAACAGCAAAGTAAATGTACTAGTGCTGGCTCTGAGTCCCACAGGATTAAAACTTTTTTCTCATTTTAGCTAAAACACATTTTTTAAGCTATAATACTATGTATTACTTTTAATACATCATTTGTGTTAATAAAGTCTTTTAAGCACTTAATAAGTTTACTTCTGCCTTAAGCAAATTTACTTTTTTCCTTTCTCATGTGTAAGGTGGGCTCTTTCTCTCACTTATTTAGAAAATACTTTAGATGGGAACTTTTCTTTCCCTTTTTTCTTCACTTCAGTTAGTCTTTTTAAAGGACTTTCGTAATCACCATCTCAGGCAGGTTAGTTTTTGTTTCTCAACTCTTGTTAAGAGTTGGTTCTTCGAATACATAGAAAACAATGTAGCAGATCCACCAATATTTAAAGTTATGCTAATCCCACCCAAAGGTCTGTTACTTTGCACTTTTAATAACTCGCCAAGCAGTGGGGTGAAACAGTATGAGTACAATTTCATTCTCAGTGCTCCACCACCAGCCCCTTCAGATTCTGCAGTTGCATCCACTGCAGATGTATTTTTCACATTTTTTTTTCCCCTTTCCCCTCTTTTTTTCTCTTACTTGTGATTTCTTCACAATGTCTATTTGACTATTTTATTACATTTCTTTACATTTATTCTTTCATTCCTCAGGCTTATAAATGTCCTGAAAGTTAGAATATATTGTTGTAATTTCTGCTGGCATTTCACATCTGTTTCTTGTCCTTAATGACCTGTTGCTGAATTTTCTAGATTTCCTTATATGTATTTGCATGCTTAAAAGCATTTTTAAAAACAGTGTTACACTGAAGGCAATAGCTACATAAAGGTGTTGGTTTTGTTTTTTTAATTCTGAGGGTTTGGTTAAGATTTTCCAACATTTTTCGAACAATTTCTTCACTGTTTCTTCTCATGTCTGACAGCCTTCTTTAAAAGCATGTTCATATTTTCAGTCTCAATACAACCAAAAATGCATTTTGGTCATTGTGATTTATTACAGAATTTATAGCAAGACTCCGAAAAGGGCATCAAAAAGTATTACTTCCATTGCTTTAAATTAATAACTAACAGCTTTGATTTTCTTCCAGTTTCCAGGATTCTAATTAATTTCAATTTGCTATGGATAAAAGGAAAAAGCTCTAGTATAATAGTGTTAACGGCCTGACAAAAAAACCTTTGTATCTTAACCTTCCATATGAAATATACAAAATGGGATTTAATTCAAGTATTTATGATAAGATGACATGAGTGAATGAAAACAAGAAAATATAAGTATATAGGGCTGATAACAAAAAACAACTTTGAGGAGTCACTTCAGTGTTAAATATTTGTAGTAAATGATGACACTTTCTAGATGGCCTTTTTAAAAAAAAAGCCCAAATCAACTATGTTCTACTTGTATTCTTTCCCCTAAAAACCCCAAGTATGTTCTATTTGTTTTCTCTTCCTTTTCCTTAAAGCAAACATCTTGAAGAAGTACAGATGTGGAATGGAATTAGGTGACTGTCTCTGAGGCATTGGGTTTTTTTTCTCATACAGCATTTGCTACTTGCTGCAGTAATTCCATAAAATCAGTATTTATCTTCAACACTGAAAACAAAAATATATTTTTTATTTCATATTGTGAAAGCTGTAGAAATTGGGCACAAGTTACACAGAGATGTTACAGAACAAGTTCATTAGTAAAAGAAAAGCTGACTCAAACTATTTAATACCAAGATTATGTAAATTCCTAGTGCTATTAGAAACAAAGTACCTTTCCCCCTAACTACTAAGGAATAAAGATTAATATGTAAATTGGAAATTTAAGTTTTAAGCACTGCTGTGCAGTCCCCACAAACACAAACAGGACATTGATGAGGAATTGCTAATAAGGGTTGAATACGCTAAACCTACAAGAGACAGCTCAGTTAAAGAGGAAGTAGAAGCAATTTATCCATGCTTGTTACCACCTGTCAGTGAAGACATAAACCTCAGAAACTTTTCTCTAAGGACATTCTTATACCTCCTCCACACTTCCTTCCACCATCCCAAAATAACTGCACAGCAAGCAATACTTAGTATTTCAGTGGAATTCCATCAATCAAAGCAAAACAAGAGAGTAAACTCCTCATCACTAAACCAGCAGGACAGACTGCTTCACTGAACTAATTAGCCATTTTATATCCCCTCCCTGGATCACACAGTTAAAACTCTCTTAGGTGATAAAAGCAAGTAATTAATTAGTGAACAGGATCAGTTTATCTCCACTGCACATTTAATTCAATGAATATAGCCTAGTACTTGATCAAAAAAGAAGGGTTGGCAGGTCTACAAGTGAAATTGTGGTTTTTCTGTGGACTATAAGTCACTACCTCTCCTTCAGTCACCTGAGGTAATTTCCAGTGGTGTCTAAATCAAAACACATCTATTTCAGAACTTTCTTGACAGCCATATGCTGCTACTTTTGCTATATGTGGAGAACACAGCAAACAGTATGTGGCTAATA